TCCTCCTCCTCCTCTTCTTCCACTGCCATATCTTCTCCTCCCCCTCCTCCTCCTCCCATCCTCTACCTCTTACCTTCAAGTCCAGAAACGGAAAAGGATCGATAGGCCATGCTCTCACCGTTTGTATTCATTTTTTTCCATTTTCTTTTTTTTCTCTCTCCCACAAACAATCAATCAATCAATCAATCAATCAATCACTCAATGATATTGAGTTACAGATTGATTTTTTTTTTTTTGAATGAATGATTGATTGATTGATTGACTGGGTCTTTTTTTCCCCCTTCTAAACCTAGCTCACGTTCCCCGTTGTTGGGTGAACCATCCAACACTTGGTAAATTCTGAGTCACAATGATAGGAAGAGCCGACATCGAAGGATAAAACAAAACGGCAACGTCACTATGAACGCTTGGGTGCCGCAAGCCTTCTTCCTCCTCTTCCCTCCTCCTCTTCCTCCTCCTCCTCCTCCTCCTCTTCTTCTTCTTCCTCCTCCTCTTCCGCCATATTTTTCTCCTCCTCCTCCTCCTCTTCTTCTTCCGCCATATCTTCTGCGTCCCCCTCCTCCTCCTCCTGTACCTTCAAGTCCAGAACGGAAAACTCTCTCTCTCTCTCTCTCTCTCTCTCTCTCTCTCCACACACACACGCACACACACACACACCCAATCAATCAAGCAAGCAAGCAAGCAAGCAAGCAATGCGATTGATTGATTGGTTGACTGATTGATTGATTTTTTTTTCTTTTTTTAACAGATGTGCGGCCCCAGCCAAACTCCCCACCTGACAAAGTCTTTCACTTGGATCGGTTAGGCCAGGGGGGCCTGCACCTTGGATCGGGAAGCAGGGCAAAGCCCCGGCTCCACCTCACGAGATAAGTAGAATAACTTTGAAAGTAGTGGTATTTCACTTGCACTGTAACGCCCCCACTTCTCGTCTTCTTCCTCCTCCTCGTCCTCTTCTTCCTCCCCCTCCTCCTCCTTTTGTTCTTCTTCTTCCTCCTCCTCCTACTCCTCTTCCACCATATCTTTCTCCTCCTTCTCCTCCTCTTCTTCTTCCGCCAGATCTTTTCCTCCCCCTCCTCCTCCTACCCTCCTCCACCTCTACCTTCAAGTCCAAAAACGGAAAAGGATCGATAGGCCATGCTCTCACAGTTTGTATTCCTACTCTTTTTTGTCGTTTTCTTTTTTTTTTCTCTCTCTCTC